CATTATTGTTGGGAAAAGATTTGGCTCGGGGAAAAGTCGTTGCCGAACCTAAATAGTTAGTGAGTCGATCACTGTTTCATCTAAGAAGAATTCCGTTGAGAAGAATTCCGATTTGTTTCCCTCATGTGCTGTGAATCGAGCGGAGGCTAAGAAATTACACCAAAAACAAATGATAGACATGGATTCAGAGGACGATATTATAGATTTGTCTCAGACATTTTTTGGATCCGACGAGGATCTTGTGGATAATTGTCCTACTGATGATTCCTCGGTGATGAACAACGATAGGCGTGAGGGATCTGATTCACCTAGTGAAGTTCCATTTACTAAATGTAAACTGTTTGCTGAGCAAAAAAAAGAAAAAAAAAGGATCTGCAGATCTCTCCACTATTTAAATTTGCACTCCCAAAAGATGAACTGGAGAAAGTTCCAAATGGTTATTTTTTCAAAAATGGTGTGCTTATGAGGAAATGGATACCACCAGATGTGCCAGCTTCAGAGAACTGGGCTATTGTTTATCAAATCGTTGTTCCCAAAGCATATCGTTCTGAAATATTGAAAGTTGCCCATGAACTCCCCATAGGAGATCATTTAGGTGTCATCAAGACATTTGACAAAACTATGAGACATTTCTTTTGGCCAAAAATTGGGCAAGACGTTTCTCGGTTTTGTAAAACTTGTCATACCTGTCAGTTGGTCGAAAAACCTAACCAGAAAATCCCTGTTGCTTCTCTGAAACCTATCCCAGCTTTTGAAGAACGTAAGTTCCGTCCTGGGGACATGGTCTTAGTATTGTTACCCACTAATAAAAAAAAGAAAGAAAAAAAGAAAAGAAAAACGTAAGACTGTTAAATTGCAGTTTATCACTACAAGAGTATGATCTGGGGATAATCCATGTTAAAAGGGGTTGATAACATTTGTACTGATGCACTTTCACGTGTTATGTAATTTTATGATCATAAGATTTTTTGTATTGATTGTGTTTGTATACTGTAATGATTATTGAAGTGGTATAATCCTTTGAACAATGTATTATATTTAATGTATTGTTGCAAATGTATATATATATAATATCTTAGTTAAAAATTGTCTAAAGCCAAATTTTAATTCTCTAAGGAGAGAGTTGTAACGAATTTGTTATTACATAGTTATTTTAATATAAATGTTTGTTTAGATTAAGTTTGTATTTAAAAACTTGCA